GCAGGAGTCAGCCATGATTCTGATATAGCCATAACATGTGCTTGTGTCATAGCAAGTATTACTTTGAATTCATCCATTGATTTGCACATTGTATTTAATGCTGTATTTATCATTTAACTTCTACATGAGTCCCAAAATTATTTATGGGTTGCATTTTAGATAAATACTATGTCTAACTGGCTGCTATGAGTATAAATTGTTTTACAATAAAAATAATAAATATACTGGTAGCCTTCTTTTTCAAGCACAGTTATGTAAAATCATGAATAAAAAGCTTTAAAAAAACACTTCTGAACAAACAAATGAACGAGATATTTATTCAGCTTCACTTCTTGGTGCATAAAGAGACATTCACGATACAAATTAGTAGCCACAAGTAAAACACAAGTCTTTGATCTTGCATTGTATTCCAAGTACACTGATAAAGCACAATCATTAATCTAACAGCAACTAATACTGTCTTTATGGTTCTACAGGAGCTCTATCACTACAGTCTACATTGAGGTTTTGCCTCCCAATAATCAGAGTCCCCCACGTTTTCCACTCTCTACCTACAACCTAGAGATCAGTGAAGCCATGAGGATTGGAGCTATTCTGCTCAATCTGCAGGTGATACACTGATCTGTTTGAATTTACAATTTAGGCACCAAAATCAGCATGTTTTTTCATCACATTCAACTGTTTCTTGCAAAGCCGTTATCTTCCCCTGTTAAGCTGTAAACGCTATTGTTTGGCCTTCATGTTTCTTTTTTTCTTTCTTTTCTTTTTTTCATTTTTTCCTTCAGGCCACAGACAGAGAAAACGATCCGATCACATATCGCATTGTGAGTGGAGATTCCCAGAAGGTTTTCAACCTCTCTGAAACGTGAGTGCTTTTTTTTTTTTTTTTTTTTTTTTTTTTTTTTCTATCTGGCTTCTCTCAGCGCTTGGTGGCATGCAGGTCACTGATAAACACAAGGCTGTAAACATAGATATATGGTGTGGGATTGTGTTTGTCTGAATGYGGTCCAGCCCACCTGTCTCCCCTTGCATACTGAACAGGGATAACCATGCATTATGAATGTGAACAGAACTCTTTCCTAGGCTGCAGTTCAGCTCGTAGTCTCGCAAAGGTACACTTCAAATTCAGACTTTTCTTTGAAAGGTAATTTTTTGATCATCACAAAAAAATATGCTYTTGAGCTGGTTTATCAAAAGCTGTATATTGTTAAAATTGTTAACTTTTTTTTGTTTTTTACAAGTGCAAGATGTACAGTGTGGTGCATATTTTTTATGGTCCTTTTATGAACAGCATGTTTTAAAAAAACAGCAGAGCACATTTTTATCCACTGAATACTGATGAAATGGACAAACATGGTTAAAAAATGTCACAAATGAAAAGTAATTCGAGAATAATAGGTTTATGGTTGTGATACTTGAAATTACTTTCTTCTTATTTGTTTTGGCTGATTAACTATCTCATCGTTGTCTGTAATGTATGTTTCCATAACAATGTGTGTTTTCAAAAATTTAATCTGACATCAATGATCTATTCATATTAGTTTCAACTTGCAAGTCACAGTTATAAAAAATGAAAAAATCCCTTTAATTATATGTGATTAAAAAACAATTAGTGTTCTGCAGCTTTCTGCAGTAGAAATCAAAATAATGAGAGACGTTACCTTTTATACCAGGAATGTCAGACCTACTTTAAGATAACTGAGCTGATTTGTAAATGGGACTTTACGCAAATAATCTCACAGATTAGACGTATCTTTATACCTGCTGAGGGGTTTATAGGTTTTCTTTGCTTTCTCTTCAGCTCCTTTTCTCCACTTTTAGTTTTACTGCTTTTGAAATTTAGCAGGCAAATATCGTCTGGGCTGAAAAAAAGGACCAATTTTACTGTCAGCATTSAAAAAAATCTACCTCTTTCCACAGCTATTATAGAACAAAAAAAGGCATAMCATATTGAAGTGGTTAGTGCCTTTTTCCATCACATAAGCAAGCAAATATGAGGAGAGGAGACATAGGGACACTGAAAATGGAAACCTTGCCAGACACGTTTCTTGCTAATTGATTAAAGCCCATTTTGTCTGCATCCTGAGTCTCTGAGCTATGAAAGGACAAGCTGTATTGCTGCACTGTGCACAAKCAAAATAAGGGCACACTTTCTATTGTTGGTATTGCTAATGTAATCTCTTAAACCACATATGGCRGAAATCTTGCTAAAACAAATTGACACTGTTTGTTTAGGATATTCGCTCTGTGGTAAAAAGTAAATTTGGCACAGTGCAAGCTCTCAGGAACTGGTAACYATTAACATCAAGCGGGTGATGACATAGCATATGAATTAAAAATAATTTCCTAGATGATGCTGTTGATGGTGATTTACAGCATTTTTTTAAATATTTTAACTCTTTAATGTTTAGGGTAATTCACTGAATTTATATTTTCTTCTAGCTAAATAAAACCAGTGTATTCTAGCTGGCATTAAAGATGAGATGATCAAAACTACTACAAAGTGGAGCAGGTTAATCTGAAGAAAGTGCAAATATTTCATGAATGATGAAAAAAGTCAGTGTTCTCTAAAGAATGGACATTTTTATTTAGTCAWATTATTATTATATGCTTGATTGTTCAGTCTAACACAGAGGAGCCCAAAGTGGGGCCCGCGGGCCAAATTTGGCCCGCCAAGCCATTTGATTTGGCCCACCAACACTTGCCAAATTTACAAGGTTGTAACCTGTTATCCTATAGGAAGAAACACAGTGTTTCCATTGGTCAAATGACTATACAAAAGGGCTGTAGTGAAGGTGGTTTTTAGTCATGGTGCTGACATTTCTTTGATTTATTAGGATTAAACATGAAACGACAACAAGAAATATTTAGATCAGATTTAACCCCACATGTAGATTTGCACAATTTACAAGGCCACAAAAACTCATATTTTATCAATTTATGAGTCTTTGCTTCTTGAGCGTGTGGCAGACTTTCTCCAAGTGCACAGACTAAAACAAAAGAGGGTCATTGCACAGCTTAATCGNGTTGGTTGATTTTCAAAGACTCAATAAAGAAACATCAATATAACAGGTTTAGTTCTACAGTGGGTGGTCTACAGCCACATGGCAAAAGACAACACACCWCTCACAAACAGTTTTAACTCACGTCTCACAAAACCTCTCGGTCACACATGAGTTTAGAATTAAAAAATAAACATGGTAGAAGAGGAAGAAGCAGTGGTCATAGTTTGTGGACTATTTTTAGTAAAGAGTAAAACTATATAAAAAGACGTCTCCGAAGTCCACCAGACTTTCTGGTTTGCCATGGCAGCTGTTTTGTCTTCTGTATTTTGGATTCCCCTYCTRTGTTTCCATTACCTCGCTTTCCGACTGGCAACACGTCACATTTAACAGACTGCTTGGTTATTCTTGGGGAACACCCCACATGCTGGGATATCGTGCCAAGACAATCCAACATGTTGAAAATTCCCAATGTGATGTCAGAGTGTTGAAGATATCCTTTCAAGCCAACTAGATYACTCTTTACACATCAAACATGGCAGGCCTATAGAACTAGAGCCGTCATGATAATCGGGGCATCTTTAMGATTGTTGGAAGGGCAAAATCAGGCCATATATCAGCATAAAGATCTTGCCATGTGAACCAGGCATTATTCAAATGTCTTTCATTGTGACGTTGTTGGGGAAAAGRAGAAAAGCCTGGTACCAAGGCCTTTCAGGCAGGTCAGGAACAGTGGTAAAGACAATGTCATCTGGACATTGGCATCCTTCATTCTGAATAGGCACAGCAAAGGATCATGGTCCAAACAGGGGGTGAATGGGCAGCCCAGCAGGTAATATCAGTGTGTGTCAATTACCCACTAAAATGCCTTGCACCGTTTTTCCTCTATACTTTCCTGTCTCTGACTGGGGTATAATACTCACAACTGCTGAGACAAAATGGCCACGAGCCCTTTGTTCAATGTGTCAATCTGCTGAGGGAATGAAGGAAAGAAAAATAGTGTGTAAAGCAATGATTCTGCACTGTTTAACCCTCTCGTATGTCATTTATCTTAGTTACATTCATTTTTGTGAATGAACTTGCWAATTATAGGCTTCAGAGTCTYATTCAGCCAATCAACCAGCCTGCCAGTCTGGGCTTAATAATGATAAAGTATATTTTGTGAAACCCTTTACTTTACAATGGTACAGTGATATCTAATATGATATATTTAATATTTATTATAAAGTATTAAATGTATTTCACAAAAAAGGAAAGTACCTGGAAATAAAACTGAGTTTGGTTTGCAATGGTTTTCTAAAAACCAGGCATCTAAGAGAAAATGCATTTTGTTAAAATCTGTGATCTGTTAGTTAGCGGGGTCAGGAGGATTTTAATAGTAATGAGAAAAACATAACAGGTCAGTAAGGTGGAGATGTATTTAGAGATAAGACTATTCAAGCTTTGAAGGAAAGGTGTAAAATGTTAGAATCAATACAAAATGTAACAAGGTGCCAGTGCAATGAGGCAAGCACACAGGTGATGTGTTTGTGCCTTTTTAGCCTTGTGATAAGTGTAGAAGCAATGCTTTTAACCATCTGAGAGTGAAAAGAACAGACTGACTTAAATCTAATAATCAAGACAAAAGTAGATAAATGCTTGCGTAGTTTTTGTAAGTCAGCAGATGAACAAATTTACCTTTTATGTGTTCAAAACAAGAACATGCTTTATTAATTAGGTATCAAAACCTACATTGAAATCAAGCTCCTAGATATCCAGCAGCTTAGTATTTTTAACTAGAAATTGTGCTGCTAAAAATAATGACCTCTGACTTTTCAGGGAAACAAATGCTCTATTTAGGGCATGTTGTCAAAAAGGAGTTCTGAGATTTGTGGCGCTGCCGTCATTTGTGGGTTTTATTTGGCATGCATCCCTAAGTGCTTTTGCAACAAAATGGTAATGCACTTTATGGTCTTTTTTTAAAGCTGGGCAAGAAAATGATTGTGAATRGGTAATAAAAGGGTGCCTAATAATGAGCCCTGTAGCCTGTCAAAAAGCCAACTAACACAATGTGGAGCTAAGGTTTTTCAAAGTCACAGAAAATGTTAAGTTGAACAGGGATGGTGTGCTAAACCAAGAACCAAATGCTTCATTTTAACCCAAGACTTTTAAAGGGAGTTATTGTGTATTTTCCAGACACATAGTTCAATTCTATACCACGATCATGTGTCTTTGTTACTGAAAATAACAGTTACATAGTTGATTTGAAAATGCTCTATAAATTAAAAATAAATTTGACTTTGCTTCTTATATCTAAAAGCCTTGAAATTGTCCTCTGTCTCTTTAAGAATGTCCCACCGTTTCTGAAACTGCCTCTACTTTACTACTACTTTACTCTCTGCTAACATCATCACAACAGTGTTTCTTACCGTTCACAACCTTTCATAGGAGCATTTTATTTTGTTGAAGAAACATTCTCAGTTTTGGAAAATGGCAATTCAGAAAACAGTTGAACCTCACTTGATTGACCCCACATTGAACTTGGAAAGTAATCATTTCTGAAGAACCGGAGTGAGTACAGAGGCTCTTACAAGCATGCAGCTTGGTAATCTATCTCCCAGAAACCCTCTCATACATACAGTATACAGTTTGTCAATGTTAAGCTACTTTTTGAACCAAAACTATGAATAAAAATCATTATGGATCTATGTTTTGCAATTACATCATGAACATCCACRGCATTTTTAGCATTTTTGGGATACATTTAGCTAGGCAGGTGAAGCTGTGTGTGGGAGGGGTACTCTGTGGGGTGGGAGCTCAGTCCCCAGCTGAGCAGGGAGGAGCTTTGGATAAAGAGGCGGTGCTTCGTACCAGCAAGCAATTTAGGCAGCTACAAATGGCTAACAGGTGAAATTCAAGGATTTCTTAAATATGCATGACTTAGTCGAAGCAACTCTCTGGGTATGTTTTTGATGGTATTATAACATGATATGAAGCTCAAAAAAGTTGATGTTGCAAACCACCCCCCTTTAAATGATACGGGGAGATGTGATTAAATTTATGAAAAGCAACACTCAGATCTAAAGAATTAAAAACCATGCAAGTGCCAGCTGATGCTGCCGATTTGGCATTTAGATTGGGAATTCACTATCAATTGCATTTTTCATCAGCTACTCCTGAAGGGTCCATCCTGACCCAACAAACAGCTGTCACACAATCAAAGTTGTGTTAACAACAAAGAGTTGTTTTTATACTTGTCGTCACAAGGGTTGTGACACACTTAGTAGAAGCATCTGGCCATTGTTGCTTTAGATCATAGAGGGTGTCAAAGGGACCTGAAAGACAATTCCAGGTAAAGACAGAGAAGGTTATTACCAACCGGTTGTCACCGTGTCTGTCTGTCTCACCTCCTGATGCTCCCTGAACAAAACAAAAACACTCACATCCTCCGTCTGCGAGTAAAACAAAACTACCACCTGCATGGTTGTAGACATCTTGCTAACTTTTGAACTGCCCTTATTGTTTTTGTTCCACTTTTGAATTCAAAGGTTGCCAATAGTCACAAATACCTAACCTGAAGGCCATGCTATCATTGAATCTTGTTAAGTGTTGAAGTTGGCAGCTGACTTTTTCCACTTCAAGGTGAAACACAAAACTAAAATTTCTTCAGAAAAAGTTCAACCTTTATTTATTTATTTATTTATTTATTTATTTATTTATTTATTTATTTATTT